TTACTGTCACAGACGTTTGATAAGATAATTCTATTCATCAGATGAATTAGTCCCCTAACCGGGCCACCAAGGCATTTGACCATAAATTCACATCTCAAAAGGTATGAACCCTTTAAGTCGACTTGGAGTATTAGGTATATGTTAAAAACAGCTCTATATTAAAAAGATAGTGGATAGATAGTTAGTATGAAAGCTAATCATTTTTTTTCGCCATATCCCTTTCGATTATTCTGGCCTGAAGAGTGCATAAATAGATAGCCGGCGCATTATTAAAACAATTTTTGACAGATATTTTTAATTGAACAACGAACGTACGAGAAGAGCCACCGAGTGAGAACGACTAGCATAAAATTAGGCACTCCAGGGAAGCTAAATTTTCCGGAGTAAACAACAAAAATGTGCATCGGCACTACGCTTGGAACCAAACCGAAAAGCGTACGTATGACCATTTAAAATGAAAAATAATTCTTCTCCTTGCCTATATCGCGAATAACTATCCATGGGAAATTTGAGACATAAATTTGGATACATAAATATTGATAAATACTAAATGTTTGCAGATGAAGTAGAATTATCCTCCAACCGAGCAAAGGAAATTTTTCAGGTGAAAAGTAAACAGTTATCACATTTTGACAACGTTCCTGGCATTTTTTACTAGATCCATCCCCCTTCCAAACAAAATGGAAAAGAAGAATAAAGGCAAGCGATACTTTAAAAAATAAGTTACCATTGGGCGGTTCCAAAAGAGATGCCCGCAAGCGACGGGCACCACTGGGCGTGCAGGTATGGTTAATTGCAGCGTAAAGGGATGTTTTATCGTAAAACCGTTGCTTTGGACCAACGAGATTTAACCGCAAAGCAGATGATACGTCTAATTAAAAAATATTTAATGCTGTAAACTGCATGCATTTTAAATTTATAAGCGACATTTTCACGCAGACTGTGTTCCCCTTGTGAGCTTTTAGATGCACTGTCCGGAAATATTTAGGAGTTTGTACCTAACAAGTTTGATTCATTCAAAGGCAGCTATTATGACGATAGGGTCTGCCAAAACTCCTACCCAACAGATAAATAGTTCGTGTAAGGTAGTCCAGCCCCTCATCTACATTTTCCAACTTATACAACGGGGAGCAGAACAATAAAATTTATGCAATAATGCAACTTTCGTTGTGATAATTCACAAATCCAACATCTTGTAAAGAAACCAGTTTATAAAAAGGCAACACATAGCATGGTCAAGATTAATATCGCTGTTGGGAAATGCTGCAGAAGGATTTTGTGCAAGTAAGAAAACCAATTTTTATGCCTTATCCAGGAGATTAGGCTTCGAGTATGTCAATTACTTTTTTGGTGAAGTTATACACTAAAGCTATCAGCTCTTAATTTCATTTACATGTGCCTTCTAACAGCGCAACGTGAATTCAAGGAGAGACGTTTAGATACTAGAAAGAATGTGACTCCCGGCAGCATAGTAAAAATGAATCAGTACCTCCAAGAGATGTTAACTGGGAATTTTAAGCTCCCTTTCTCCTCACCAGACACAGCTGGATACAGCACACCACGTTCGTTCTCTCGGCTGCTGTCCGCGCGTCTCGCCTATATGCTCTGCGTGCCGCTTCCGTTCCTTCACACATGGCAGAATAGAGTCACCTAAATCACTATTAAATATCTAAAGCGTTCATCTGTGCTTTTTATTTACCTCTGGCTTACATGAACTGTACGTCAACAAAATAGAAACATGCAGATAGGTGGACTCATTTCTAGAATAGTTCTAGAAGTTTCGCCTCACCTGAAATGCATATATATTTCAAGCAGAGGCGTCCTTGAAATAACACTAGAAATTGTGCGCTTCTTCAATGAGCTATATGAGAGTTTTTTTTTCGACAGAAACCTGCGTACCTTATACGCCACAGACGAACGCTCTGAGTCTTAAGCTTAGTCCAATTGATAAAATTTGAGAGAATTAGTCTTCTTTCGTCAGAAAACAAAACCAAGATAATAGAGATAATGTCTAGAATAAGTAACGGTTTTCTTACCGATTCTGAAAAAAAAACGTCATCTTCGCTGCTACCAGAGAAAGTGAAAACTCCTCATACTGTATCGTTTTAATATGGAACGATTACTAAGGAGGATCACTGCAAGTGAAGTGAACGATATAGCAAAATGTATGTTAAGCGCCGACTGTCAGTACTATCTTATTACTGACCATTTTACGCGTGCGTGTACAGATGAATATGACGCACTGGCATGCAATCAATAGGGTTTTAAAAGGCATTGCCTATTACTCTTACCAAATAAACTGGAAAACTGAGCAGGTACTGCTCAAAAGCACAGACACGTGCTTCGCCCGTATACTGCCGCTCCTTGACACAGCCGCAGGCAAGCAGCTCAAC